AGCCAACACGTTCCCACCCTGGCCCAAGGCACCAGCTCGCCCAGCCCCCAGGGGAATCTGTGCCAGACTCACCTCTGGCCACTGCTGAGCCCATGGAGCAGCGCTGCCCTTCCCTGGACAGCTGCCTGCCCTCCCCTCACCCCCCACCCATACCACAGCCTCCGTCTGCACTGCCAGGGGCTGGGGGTCCCCTTGGCCCCCCCCCAGGCACAGGGACATCCGTGCCCGTTGAGTGCTGGGATGCCTGGCTGTGACCTACACCCCAGGAAGGACAAAGCTTGTGGGCAGTGCCAGGGCATGGCTCAGCCCCGTCCTTGCTGCCCCGGGGTCCTCCTCACAGCTGGCCAAGCAGCAGGACCCCCACTATGTAACTGGTATTTGTTCGTGGCACATACCAGTCCCCGTGGTGGGAATCACTAAGTCAGAAGGTTGGCAGGGACCTCGAGAGATCATCCAGGGATCAGAGCTCAGGCAGGGTCAGCAGGGGCTGGTTGCTCAGGACTATGTCCAGCTGTGCTCTGAGTTGCCTCCAGTGATGGAGACTCCACAGCCTCCCTGGGTAACCTGTCCCAGGGTCTGACCACCATCACAGCAAAACAACCAAACGTTTTCTTATGTTCCAAGGGGGTTTCAGATGTTTCAGTCTGTGCCCCTCATCTCTTGTCTTGTCACTGGGCATCACTGAGAAGAGCCTGGCTCTGTCCTCTTGGTACCTGTGGGTATTTGTGGATATCAGCAAGGTCCTCCTGAGCCTTCTCTTCTCCAGGCTGAACAGTCCCACCTCTCTCAGCCTTTTCTCATGCTCCAGTCCTTTGGCAATTCCTGTGGCCCTTGGTTGGGCTCCCTCCAGTACGTCCACGTCTCTCTGGACACGGCACCCCAGGCGTGGCCTCACCAGAGGGCACCTCTCCTGCTGGCAGTGCTCTGCCTGACACAGCCCAGGGCATGCTGCTGTCTCACACTCACCCTGCTGCCCACCAGGACCCCGGGTTCTTTTCTACCAAGCTGCTTTCCAGCTGGGTGGCCCCCAGCATGGGCTGGCTCCGGGGTTCCTCCCCAGGGGCAGGGCTCTTCTCTTTGCTAAGCTGCAGGAGGTCCCTGTCAGCTCCTTTCTCCAGCCTGCCCAGGTCCCTCTGGATAGCAGCACAACCCTCTGGCCTGTCAGCTTTCCTTCCAGTCTCATGTCACTGGCAAACTTCCCAAGGGTGCACTCAGCCCCTTCATCCAGATCATTACCAACAGAGCCAAACAGGGTTGGACCCTGGACTGATTCCTGGGGCTCACTGCTGGTGACTGGCCTCCAACGAGACCTCGTGCCATTGGCCATCACCCCCTGGGCCCTCTCCTTACAGCCAGCTTTCGATCCACGTCAGTGTCTGTACACCTTGCCCATTTTCTTCATGAGCTTGTCGATGGGGATGTGATGGGAGACAGTGCCAAAACCCTTCCAAAGTCAAGGGAAAGGACACCCACCGTGCTCCCCTCCTCCGGTCTCTGTGGAAGGTGATCAGGTTGGATAAACTCATTTCCCCCTTGGAAATCAATACTGAATAATCCAAATCACATTTTTGTCCATCATGTGTCTGGGAACGGTCTCTAGAATTAGGTGCCCCACCACCTTCCTAGCATCTGGGGGGAGTGGGACTGGCCTGTGGGTCCCGCTCTTGCCAGTCTTGAAAACAGGAGGGGTATTTTCTTCTTTTCCCCAGCCTTCAGGAACCTCTCAGTTGCCCGTGGACTCTCATAGAGAGTGGCCTCACAAAGTCAGCACTCATGAGTGTATCCTGACAGGCCCCACGGATTTAAGTATGTCCACGCTGTTCAGTGCTCCTCACCAGGTCCTCCTCCACCAAGGGCAGTTACTCTTCACTCCAGACTTCTCCCCTGGTCTCTGGGGGAGTCCTGAAGGCTGCACATACCTGCTGCTGAGGCCAAGAAGGCATTGAGCACCTAGGCCTTCACCATGTGCCTCGTCCCCAGGTCTCCTGCCCTATTCAGCAGCCGCCCCACATTTTCCCCTCTTCTTTTGCTGTTGATGTACTTTCAGCCTTTCTTGTTGCCCTTCACATCCCTCGACAGATTCAGCTTTGGACGGGCTTTAGCTTTCTTATTTCCACCTCTGCATGCCAGAGCTTGTCTCCGTGCTCCTTCTGGGCCCCCTGCCCTTGCTGCCAGCACTGACACCCCTCCGCATGCCTGAGCTCAGTCAGGAGTTCCCCAGTGCTGGGCAGGAGCACCAACCAGCCCCAGGCACCCCAAGGAGCCCTAAGGGCAGCTTGCAGGGTGGTGAGACACTGGCACAGGTTGCCCAGGGAACTGTGGATGCTCCATCCCTGGAGGTGTCCAGGGTCAGGTTTGATGGGATCTGGAGCAGCCTGAGCTCCTGGAAGATGTCCCAGCCCACGGGCCATGGCAGGGCCGGACTCGATAATCGTTAAAGGTCCTTTCCAACCCAAAGCATTCTGTGATTCTGTGAAATGCTGGTAGATGCATTTTCTGTGAGCAAACTCCCTGGTCACGGTGCAGGGTCTGTGTATGAAATCTCGGGCAGTGAATGCTGCTTGTCGACGGGCGACCTGCTGAAGGTCCTGGCTGTGGTGCTGCAGAAGGTCGTCTGCGAGGACACGGAGACAGGGCAGACAACAGAGCTGCCCCCAACGTTTAAGGGTAAGTGGGGCTGGGGCTGCCCTGCCCAGCTGCACCCCATGAGTGCCCTCCTACCCAGGGAGACCCTTCCAGGCCCCGTGGGCTCAGCCTTGTTGT